TCTTATAACAAACAAAATTATAGATAGGATGCTTGGTACACTCCCTTACTCCCTTTCTGATAGCAATAGGCAAGTCTGGTTCCTCATCATCTCCTTCTATAGCCTCAACCTCTTTGTCATCAGGACTCAAATTTGAGTCAGATGATTGGGTGGTGTTAATTGGAGTGATGTGCTCTTCTTCTGGAGCTCTGGTTCTAGGTTTCCGCTTATAGGTATTATTGTAGAATGGGGAGTTTTGATTTAGTGTAGGATTTTGGGGTAATGATTGGGGTGATGAAGTTTGTGGCTGAAATAGTGTGGTTGGTGGAGAGACTGTATTGTCTGGAGGGTTTGATTCAGGTTTGTCTGGGAGTATGGATTCAGTGTGGTTAGATTCAGATTCTTGGAGGTCTGGAATAGTGTCTGAAATAGGATTCAAAGACTGGATTTCATTGTGGTTCTCCCCCTGAAATTCAGTTTTGGAATAGAAAGGCTGATTTTCAAAAAAGATTACATTCATTGTGATGTAGACCTTTTTGGTGGCAGGAGAATAACATTTATATCCTTTCTGGTTGGCAGCATATCCTATGAATATACAAGGTAAGGATTTAGGATCCAGTTTTGACCTAACTGGAGAATGGTTGTGAACAAATGCTTTGCAACCACAGACCTTTGGTGGAAGATTGGTAATAGGGATGTGAGGATGTAGATAAGATAGGATTTGGTATGGTGTTTTAAATTTGTGAGTTTTGGAGGGCATCCTATTTATCAGGTAAGCTGCAGTTAGGACAGCCTCTCCCCAGTAGTGTTTAGGAGTGTGAGTGGTGAACATAAGGGCTCTAGCAACTTCCAGTAAGTGTCTATTCTTCCTTTCTGCCACCCCATTCTGTTGTGGGGTGTCAACACAGGAGCTAATGTGTATAATCCCTTTTTTTGACAGAAACTCTCCTAAATTGGATGAGAAATATTCTTTGGCATTATCGGTTTTAAAAACCTGAATCTTGATTTGAAACTGAGTTTTGATCATAGAATAGAATTTTTGAAAGATAATATTGACTTCTGACTTATCTTTCATGAGGAAGACCTAGGATAGACGTGTATGATCATCAATAAACAGAACAAACCACCTTGAGCCAGTGAGATTTTTGACCTTAGATGGCCCCAAACATCACTGTGGATGAGAGAAAAAGGTTTAGATGGTTTGTAAGGTAGACTGGGATAGTGACTTTTAGTATGTTTAGCAAGTTGACAAAATTCACAATCAAAGGCAGAACTTTTATTTATGAATAATGAAGGAAATATTTTTTCTAAGTACAAGACATTAGGATGACCAAGACGATAATGCCATAACTGAATTTGAGTATCAAATTGACTCCTACTAAGACTCCCTAAGAACTTATGGTTAAATTGACTCTCACTGGAAGTTGTCTTGTTGGTGGAGTTGGGTGAATGTGGTGAATGTTCCAGAAGATAGAGTCCACCACTTTGCTTAGCACTGCCAATCATCCTCCCCGGATCCAAATCCTGAAATTCACACAATTGTGAAGAGAATTTAGTTAGGCAATGTGTATCACTATTCAGTTTACTGACTGATAAGAGGTTAAACTTTAAATCTGGAACATATAACACATTGTTAAGCACTATCTTGTCAGAAATTTTGACTCTTCCAGTCCCTTTTATTGCTGAAGTAGTTCCATCAGCAATCTTCACAGTTACCTTATTCTTCATAGGGATCAATTCAGCAAAAAACTTATTGTCTCCGGTCATGTGATCTGATGCCCCTGAATCAACAATCCAATAGGGCTGATTGTGTGCAACTAGGGTTGTTAAGGCATTACCTGTCTGAGCAGTAAGGCTAGTTGATGGTGCAGGCCCCTTGCTCTGACTTATTAGGTGTTGAAGAACCTCAATCTGCTCATTGGTAAATGCAGCAAGATTAGAAGTGCCCATATCTTCTTTATCTCCAGTAGCTACATAGGCTCCTTTCCCTTTGCTTGGTTTGAAATCTTTAGGTTTACCATGCAAATTCCAGCATGTTTCTTTGGTATGGCCTGGTTTCTTACAGTGATCACACCATGGCCTCCCTTTTTTCTTGTTTTCATTCTGTCTGGAAGAGGTATATAAGGCTGACCCTTCAATATTTTGTTGTTGGCCTTGAGATTTCAGACCCATCATTACCTTCCTTCTGCTTTCTTCTCTTCTGACTTCTAAGAAGGCTTCTCTAAGGGTGAGTTTCTTTCCCATTATTCTGCCCCTAACCTCATCTAGACTCTTGTCTAAACCTGACAGGAATTTGAAGACTCTCTTCCTTTCACAGATCTCCTGATATAACTTCTTATCCTTAGAACATGACCAATTGTATGTCTCAAACACATCAAGATGCTGCCAGAGTCTCACAAGGTTGTTGAAGTATTGAGTTACACTCAATTCTCCCTGCTGAAGGTTATGTAGCATTGATTCAACTTCAAATAATTCAGAAGTGTTATCTGAAGTTGAGTATGTTTCTTTCACAGCCTCCCAGATCTCTTGAGCTGTTTTGTATAGTAGGAAATTTTCTCCTATACTGGTTGTCATGGAATTGATGAGCCATGACATCACAGTATAATTCTCCTTTTTCCACTTCTTGTAGCCTGGATCTCCTTGATCTGGAGCAGGTGCATCACCTGTCAAATAGTCCTCCTTGTCTTTTCCACACACATACATCATAACGGACTGAGACCATTGTAGATAATTACTTCCATTCAGTTTATGGCAAGTAATAATCGAATCTGACTGATTAGGAGTGGTGACTGTGCTTCCATTGATATTCTGGTTGTTGCCATCTCCAGTTGGGACAACCTCTGAATGTTCAGAGGTGACTGGGATAGATCCATCTCTCTCGATGGTCATCCCATAGGATCCGAACTTAATCATTTTAGAGAATAACCACGCTCTGATACCATGTAGAAATAACTTGAGAAAGTAAAATGTATTTTATTTCTCTTATTTCTCTTATTCTGTGTAATACAATGAGATGAATACAGAATATATATAGCTAGAGAAAAGTGGAATAAGGAAGGAATCCTCCTAATTAAGATTCCCTAATAAAGACAAGATAATTGGGGATATTTAGAGATTCTGAGAGCTCTAAGATATCTCCTCATAAATGCTAAATCGGGTGAGTAATTATCTGTAATAATCTACAACCATCAAAGCAAGCCCAAACAAAAGAAAGTTCAAGCAAGCAGATGGGTAAACAAGGAAACAATAAGAAAAATAAACAAGTAATGGAGGCAAATGATGATGATGAAGACGAAGAAGAAGAAGAGGAGGAGGAGGAGGAGGGAGAATGGGATGATTTTGATAGTGATGATGGAAGGGATGATGGTGATAACGCCATAAGATATGATGATTCTTCCGAAGAGCTTTCCTGTCATGATGATTAAACTGCAAGCCTTCAAGATTTATAAACTATGTCAATTGTGTTATGTGTCTGGTTGTTTGTGATGCAATTTGTGTGTGATGTTTCTGTGTGTTTGTGAGACTGTGATGTGTCTGTTTTTGTGAGATGTTTCTTTTTGTGTGTTTGAAGCCTAGCGACTTACCGGTAATAGGTCACATGTATTTGAGTCTCACACTTTTTGGACTTATAATTATGGATATCCTTTACTTCTTGAGTTGTTTGTTACTATTTTAATTATATCAAGTTTTATATGTTTGTATTTTTTTAGGCTTACGCCTCAATACGCCTCAAGGCTTACGCCTCGCCTCTTAGGAACAAACCGCCTTGAAACCCGAACCCGCCTTTTTAAACCTTGGTTTGGATGAGAGTATGGCTTTGGAGAGAGCAAAATGGAGGGCGCACATTCGTTTGAACTTTGGACGATTGATCTCTTTTCTATCTTTTCTCTCTCTTTTTTCTTCTATCGTTTATCTTCTTTATCTTTCTATATTTTTATGTTATTTTTATCTTTTATCCTTCGTATGCTCTTTTATCTTTTTATCCTTTATCTTTCTTATGTTCTTATGTTATTGTTATGTTATCATTTATCTTTATCTTATTCGATTTATCTTACTTTATTTTTTATTCTTCCTTCTCTTTTGGCTCTGATATCATGGATCGATTCATGTTAGTCGATCCCAAAATCTTTTGAGATTAAGGCTTGGTTGTTGTTATTGTTGTTGTATGACTTTGTTTATCAACCAGCATTGACTAGTATAGTGGATTTTGAAAATATAAGGTTGTTGTGCAGTATATTATTCCTGCTTTTTTGGTTCGTATAGTTTAAATTTTTGTAGAATTTATCATGTTTGTCAAATCTAGAATAGTATACATAATCTTTTCAAAACTGTGCACCGTGCATGGGTCAGCTATGCGAGTATGCGCTTTTTTGTGTTGCGCGTCTCAGGCAATTTATAGGACTCTAGCGCCTTGAATGTGCTTTACGAATTCAACTACCTTAGGTGAAGTCACTATTCAGATTTGGATACGGTGGAGTTAACTTCACCTGAAGTTACTCAATCAACTATTTTGATGGAATTTAAAGTCTTAAACGATGAAGTTCATGTCCAAATCCATCTGGATGGTTGATGGAGTAACTTAGCGTGTAGTTTAACTCTACCAGATCGCGATCCCAATACTTAAATTTTGACACGAAACTGGGAATGAAAAATTAAAGCGTTAGATGATAAAATGATCATGAAATGAATGCAGCCCTTATGATTTTGTTATAGTTCATTCGTAATAAGTAAATAAACCAAGAAAGCAAAGATATTGGTTGTCCAGTTGTCCCACCTACTGGTTCTGTAAAATGCAACGTACTCTTGCATCAAAATGTGTGAAACGAAAGACATTTACCAATAAAGATGAATGAATAAAGCAAATAAGCAGTAGCACAATATCATTGTTATGCAAAACAGAATTGACAGAAAAGGCATTACCTAGACAAAGTGAGTCTTCTATGACTCTATCATTCTATGAAGGTAAAAAATGTGAAAGGTAGAGACGTAGAGTAGAGTGATGTATGTTAAAGGTGTAGTACCTGACCTATCCAACCAGCCAACTCATCTGAATTAGAAACAGTTGCCGATAGACATATAAGTTGAACTTCCTTTGGGCAATAAATAACCTAATGAATTTATATAGGCGACACCATGTAAAAAATGTATAATATATCCCAAACATTTTATGAAACAATGGGGCCTAACCAAAAATACATACAATTTCTTCCCAGACTGTACCCCGGGATATGTCACTTAAATAATGTACTTCATCCAGCACAATCACATCAACGTGAACGATTCCACTTTCTGACGAAGGCATTCCAACACTGTCCAGTCATCAAAAGAAATGAAAAGAATCATGACACCTTTGAATGTAAACGAAGATGCCTAAAAAACTACTTGCATATGGCTGAAATATGATGCCAAACAATCTATTGGTATCTGATTTCATATAAGACTTATATAAAGTAGACTCCAATGTGCACCGGGCTGCCCTTTATAAAGTAGGCTCCACACAGTAAAGTAAACATCACATTCTCTGTCAAGGTGTGATGAGCATGCATGCTCAAGTGACATCACAATTACCAAAAGTCCAAACTAATGGTTATTGCCATCACTTAACAAGCATATTGAGACATAGAAGAATGCAAGCTAGCTTATAAATGTCACAGAAGCAATTTTAATGTGCCAAATTCTAGCCACACAACTCTTATGGTGGCCTGCAGTCTCTTTTCCCCGTCGTCAGTCTTACAGAGTCTGGTGGATGACTCGCTGGTCTAGTTCTGTTTAAATGTATAATACTGTTTCTCTCAGGTAGCGCTAACAGACCACCACCCGCTAGATAGCGTAAGCATTTAAGCAATACTATGAGAAGCATAAAAAGTATAGAAGTGTTATCTAATACTGTACTCCGTCTGTCCCTAAATTATCCACACAATTTCTTATTTGGTTCGTCCCAAAACTATCCCCCATCTCCTTTTAAAAAAATACAGTTTTCACTTTTATCTCTGTGCTCAATCAAATTGGGGGTACGTTTAGGGACATATTGAGTGAAAATTTAATCTCAAAACATCAGGAGTAGCTCATACAAATGTTAGGATTAGAAGTCAAATTTGGTGGGTCATCCGAATCATAGAAAAGCATATTCTTGTAGATGGCGGATGTGTTTTCACAATTGTTTCATAAGCTAAAGCACTAGGCCTATGTGGAGCACGATTCTGTTGACATGTAATGTGCCTTTTCACATTGTAAGACCATTTGGAGTGGTGAGGTATTAGGAGTTCAAAAGGCTAAATGTAGAATTTTTGGACTCCTAATTGTGTGTAGTGGGAGTTTAAAACGGATATTAAAAGTGGAAAAGTGGACGAAGGGGTTTAAATGTAGAGGGTTGGTTGGGAGGAGTGGGAAAAGGAAAAAGAAAGAAAAAAGAAGAGAAAGGACGGACGCAAGGTTGCTTATTTTGTGCGGATGATGTCATGCAAATGTCATCCTTGCATCATAATATCTCATTTTTTAAAACTTATATAACTTTTTATTTTTGCTCCAAATGTTTCAAAAAATATATCAAAATTCGTAAATTTTTATGAGCTTTCATATGAAAGCAACATGTAATGTATAAGATGAAAAAAAATCTGAAGTTTTAACTGTTGAAGTTTTCTTGAGCCCAAAAAAACACGAAACACAAAATTTCAATTAATGGAGCCTTCACAAATACGGAGTAATTGAATACTCCATAACCAAACTTTACTTGAACTAAAATCATTTTTTGTTAACCGAAAAATGTTAAAAAATTAATGAAATTTAATGTATAAGTGGAAAATTAAGATGTGATATAATCTAATATACCTCTTATACAACATATTGCGCAAAATCTCTGTAGTCATAATCAAAATCTGAGCATCTTTATTTATAGCTGAATCTCCTGTAAGAAGCCCAACGCTCCTATCGCCAAATGTCTCCCTGGAAAGACCATCATTACCGACTCTATTCTAAGTGCCACGTATATTAAAGCAGTAAAAGAAACATGCTATAATTTGTGCACGTTAATAAAAACTATTTTTGCAAATTCAGTACCTGAATTCGCGAAATTTCTGGTTTGACAGAGCCTTAAGAGGGGTGGTGTAGAACAATCTCTTTCTTCTTGCCACTGTTGCAACAGCAGCAGCTTCAGCAATTAAAGTCTTGCCACTACTTGTTGGCGCAGACACCACAACTGAAGAACCCCTTAGAAACGCTTGAATCGCTAATCTCTGCAAGGTAATGTCTTTAATCCCAGGTTCAAGTTTTCAATCGTGATTCGATAACAGCTGCAAGATTTTAAAAGCAAATTTACCTGGAACTTATCAATACGGAAATTGTAAATTGAAGCAAGTTCGTGAACATCCATAATTTCTTCTCCGAATTCCCGGACGTCCTTACAAACCCTATCGACTCTCTGCCACTTATATTCTTCGAACTTTAATTGATCCTCTTCCACCACACCAATAGAATCTTCAGTTTCGATATTGTGTTCACTTTCTTCACTTCCATCGGAAGCCTCAGCTGAAATGACTTCATACTCTTCCGCAGCTTCTTCATATTCATCATATTCCCCTTCGTCGTATTCTTCTTTATAGTCTTCTTTTTCATCTGAGACTTGACACTCAAACGGAAAAGCAGACCTTGGAAACTTGTTGAGAGTTCGAGACTGTAGAATTCGCTTCACGGAGCAGAAACCTAGGTTTCCGAAATGGAGATGATGCTTATGGAGTGGAAAAGAAGGCTTGTTCTCTGTGAGAGATTTAAAGGTGAGAGGTTGAGAGGAGAGGGAGAGTGCCGACTGTATGACCATGGCGGGAGACGGTCGAAATCAGGTGGTGGTGTATGTCCAGCCGTCAAACCAAATATCGTCAGCAAGCAAATTCTTACCTTAAATTAGTATTTGAGGTAAAATCATATACGGGGAATTATGGCAAATTATACCGTGGGATCGGCTCACCTTACGCCGATAACAAACGATGTAGTTTTATTAATTAAAAAGAAAACTAATCTTGTTCCGTAAAGTGAAACCGGCTATGTCCTCCGTCCAAACCCACCACAAGCGGGAAGGATCGATCCAGAGCTGCCTCCTCCTATTCGTCGCTGGATTGTCTCGAGCTTTCTAAAAAGAGCAACACCGCCCTTCTAAACACCGCCCTTCTACTGGCACACAACTCAAAAAGGGACGGAAAGCTTCTTCCTGCAACTTGTCATACTTAATTATGAATCTTCCTTTGTTTATATATACAGGGGATGGTTCAAATAAAAAGTGGTCTTAACGTGCAAAGTGTAAAGTTTGCACTTTTTCATTTTTCGTTTGCACTTTTTCTTGCTTTCGTTGCACTTTTTCGCAGAAGCTCAAACAAATTGGTTTATTTACAAAACTGCCACCGTCATTTTGGCCGAATTTGGCCAAAATCAAAATGGCCAAAAAGTGCAACGCAAACATGAAAAAGTGCAAGCGAAACATTAAAAAGTGAAAACTTTGCACTTTGCACGGGAAGACCACTTTTCATTTGAACTCTTCCCTATATATATATATATATATATATATATATATATATATATATATATATATATATATATATATATATATATATATATATATATATATATATATATATATATATATATATATATATATATATATATTATAAAATTATAAAATATTGAACCGATCAAGAGCTTTCCTGGAATTCTTTGCTGCATACTGAGTTATTTCGGCATTCTTTCGCTTCTCTATCCTAGAAATAGTCCATGGAGTTCGGTTAGTTTTGCTCTTTACATTAAGACGTGATGTTATCTTACAATACGAATGATTCATGTACATAGGTATAATTATGTTTTCTATATTTATAACACAAAATACGAGTGATTCATGTGCATAACAATCAACAATTTAACACGTTTACCAGTTTAATTTTATATGTATATAGAACTTAGATGAAGGATTCTTATTTTTTTGTAGATTTTTTATGTAATGCGTTGGTATCAACTTAGACGAAGGATTCTTAGATGTGTTATATCAGTTATTAAGAAATTGGTTTATATTCAGATAAAAAATTGGTTTATATTCAGATAAACATTTCTCGTTCAAATGCTCGTGCACTTTAAAGTATATTATGATGCTCTTTGTGCCCTTCCATATTGCATGTTTGTTGTATTATGTGTGCTAGAGTCTGATTTTTTGAATAATTTTTTTGTATGCTTTCATCAGGTTCAAGTGATGTTCCCTTTAGTGCCTCTACATCAATTTCTCAACCGTTTGATGTTAATACAGTGCACGTTTCTTCGGGATCCACCATGTACTGGACACCTGATTGTGATTCGGATTTGAAACCGCATGTTGGTATGTTGTTCAATAACTTACGTGATGGTATGCGTTTTTTATCCCTCCATACCCGAGTACAAGACTCCGCTACATATCGAAAGATATGCTTCCTCTATTTATAATCATTCAATTTTTTATCTTGTTCAGAAGGAAATATGTTACGGCTGTTATTCTTGTGCCATTCTTAGTCTCCAACATGAGGGGACTGTGTTTACATATGTCATATCAGATGAGCGAGGTTTAAATTTCACAGTTGTGCACAATACGAGCGAAAGTACTACACTTTGCTCTTGTAAACATTTTGAAGGATTGGTATATTGTGTCGTCATATTTTTTTGTGTTGAAAGATAAGAAGGTCAACGCAATTCCATATAGATATGTGCTACGTCGATGATGCAAAGATTCAATTCTAAAGCCTATTAATGCATTTGAAGCTGGTGTTTTTCAACAGTGTGTTGGAACTGAAGAACAAACATTAACTATGAAGACATTGTGGTCTGATATTCATTTCTGTGTTGGAATGATTGAACATCATCCTCACTTGTTCAAGCAATTTTCAGATGCGATTAAGGTGCAAAAAGAAGATTTGTCTAGCTCTCATCCAAGCAGTGCAACAGCATCTTCAAAAAGTGAAGTTATCAAAGAATTTTATGGGTCACCTATTCCTACACAAGTTAGCGTGCATCCACCTCAGCAGGCTCGAAATAAGGGTTACGGTAAGAGGATTAAAGGTGGCAAGGAGAAGGCAATTGAAGTAAGCCAGAAGACTAAGCGATTATGTAGAAAATGTAATAAAAAAGGATACCATGACAGTAGAAATTGTCCTCTAAACTCGGAGGAATGATTATTATTTTCTATTTATCATTAGCAATTGTCATTTGAACTCGTAAGAATCATTTTTTCCAGATTCATTGTTTGCAGCATTTCTTTTGAAGGAATTTACTTAGATGTTTTTAATGCTTTATTTTACCTATTTCTAGTATTGTGGCCCTTTGTTTCTTCTAACTTCTCCCAAAATATAATAATTACGTATTGCAATCTAAATTTTACTTCATGTTCCAAATCACACTGCACTTTAAGTACATGTGATAATACTATTTCAAGTTTTTTGTTCAGTAACTATGTTTGAACTTTGAGCAATGTAATTAATTGTAAACTAAGCAGACAAATAAAATCATTTTGTATGAATGCAAAAGTGCATTGTTTTAAACAAATGGTTTATTGTATTAAGCAAATAACGCTTTGTGTATTAAAGATATGCGCAAAATAGATATGCGCATTCACCACTCCATATAACACTCCAATCCAAACAAACAATAACGTCAAAAAAGCAATTAAATTCGGATACACCTAAGTGTCTTCATAACCAGCAAAACAAAATTTTTAAGGCGTCACACCTTAAAAAACCAACAATTACGCCTCACAAAAAATTAAAGTTCAAACATTGACAAGAAGTTTTGCTTAATTCCAACATCACATCTTCTTCTGAATATTTTTCCCCTTCACGAATTCCTTGACTTTTCCCATGTTCCTTTCCTTCATCTCATTAACGCCGGACGTTATAAGTGTTGCACAATACTTCACTCGTAATGCATTTAGTTTCTTTGCTTCCCCTTTCTTCACTCCACAATCTCATCCCTTGGTGCCTTGCACCATGTACGTCTCCATATGTCTCATGCTCCACAAGCCATAATCGTGCACATTTTTAGATTCCCTCCAGCTCATATTCAATCGCTTCAAATTTGGTGTGTAAAATGTGTTGTTGTCATTATCCAGTTCCACTTCCGTTAAATAATCCACAAATAGATCTCGCTCTGTTCACAAATTCAAGTCAAGCAATTGAAGTGTGTAAGTAAAACATTTGGTATGTATTACAATGTTGATGCAAATAACTTAGACACTTACAAGTGTATATGGCATCTCCCCATATTTTTCATCAAAGTGCATCTTATCAAGTGTGTTGTCTAACACTTCGAGCTGCTCTTTCTTCATGTCAAAACACACAACATAACAATGTTGTGGTTCCACAACTGGTAAAAAGAACTACCAAACACACAAATATATATGCATTCAAAATATGTTTACACAAACACACAAAAACTTAACTACGATGCACACACAAACAAATATGCATTTAAATTACCAACTCAACATCTTCCATTTTAATTTCTGGTTGCACCGTTTCTAAAGCCAGCGTAATTGCTTCTTTAAACAATGCATATGCCTGGTCTTCAGGGATTTCTTGCCCCATGGTGTACACCTGCCATAAAGTGCACATGTTCAGTATCACATGCTCACTTAAACAACAAAACAGTGCACTTTATGCTATACTTGACTAGTTTTGTTTAGTTATGATGCTTACACAAGGAATTGTTTTTGAAAACAATCTTCATGGTGACGTGCTACTTCGTATCTTTTCCTTATTATTCAAGCACACTGTCCATGCATCTATGACCTTACTGCACATATGTTTTTTCTCCCCGAGGGTCAACATCTCTCCTCTGTTTATTGTAATTTGCTTGTACTTGAAAAGGATGTCATCCCTAAATACAAACAACATTATTTACTATGTTATTTTCGTTGACCGTTAACAACATTAATATCAATCTAATCAATAACAAATTGTTTTTTACCTCTTATCAGTAGCATCTTGCATCACCCATTTCCATATTTGTTTTTCCTGTGCATTTGATGTGTCATTCGGGTCTACAACTCTTGCCATGTAGGGAGATTTTAATACTTCTGCAGCCTTTGCGCCCCGTTTTGGCCTCAAATAAGTTGTTTTCCCTGAAGCGAATTCCTTCTTTTTATCCTTCATATTGACCTCCTGCTTAAAAATAATGACACAGTCACTATGCACGTTCCCATCTCAATTAAAAATAATGTATTAATAATAATACATTATGACATGCACATTACTGCCTAACACATTGCACTAAATGCATACCTCAACAACAACTTCCTTTCCCTTCATTTTAATACTTCTGACATCCCCCTCCACTTGAACCTTTACAAAAAAATCGAATAATTATACTAAGTTTAGTTCGAAACACTACATTATATAAAATATGACATTAACAAACATAATGCACTTTATTGCAAAACAAGGTGCAGATGTTGTTAATTTTGGATTTCAATTAACATTCATTCTTTCACTACCACTAAACTTTACTTACCTCAATAACGGTTTCCTTTCCTTTTGCTGTCTTTCCTGTCATATCATCCTATGTCTGAACCTTAAATAATTTTGAAATAATTAATATATATAATGCACAATAACTCCGCACCACTTTTAGCTCTTGGGGTTACTATTAAAATGTATTAGTTTATTTTTTTATAAACATCAATTACCTCAACGGCTGCTTCTTTTCCCTTCATCCTGTCATTGCTCATTTCCCCCTCTCCTTGAACCTTCTTAATATTTACATTGATGATATTAATTTGATATACTAAATAAGTTATTATATATGCTCAAAATGAGACACACAATGCACACGCTAGGCTAATCAGAAGCATGTTATGATGTTTTATGTTATCCATTATAATGCATTCTTTTCCCTTATCAGATGATGTCATTATAATGCATTCTTTTACTAACCTCAACAATTGCTTCAGTTCTTGTTGTTGTCTCACTTATGAGATTACCCTCTCCTCCAACCTTAAAAAAATTAAAATAAGCAAATTATTTTTACTTCAATCAGTAAATAGATTATCAGTTAGGCTTCGTATTTATACCAAATCACCATTCACTTCTTTATCAATCTCTGCACACAACTCTGTTATGCTCCCCCATTGGGTTTGTGTTTCTTGTGTCAGTCCTATTGAAAAAGAAGGCAGCTCTTCAATTTCTTTCACGTACAAAGACTTCTTCATATTCGCTCTTTCCACTCTTTCAACTGCGCTTATTGTTTCAGCCCAAAACGCAGCATCTTCAATCTCAATAGTGCTTCTTACATATGCTTCTTGTCCAGAATCCACCAGTCTTTTCATCTTTCCTAGACCTATCAACTGTTGTGCAGCTTCTTGCACATTTTTGTACTTTTCTGATTCAATTAAACTTCTAGGAACTTCTTCCCACATGTTTATGACATCAACCACATTTTCAACCAACAATTTGTTTTTTTTGTGCGAATCTCATCACAAATTCCTGTAAACAGAATGTGCAATACTTTACTACATATGTTGTATTGACAAATGGTGCACTAACTATTTTCAACCCATACCTCCGCAATTCCAGTAGCAGAACATTGCACGAACGATCCTTCTCTGCATCCACCTTTGCCTTCTGTTTCTTTTTCAGAATTCAAATCCCTCTCCATCGAACACTCTTCAATTCTCATTGCCTCGTCACAATACCCCATCCCAAACCCGCCAGTCTCTATCTCCATCAATTCTCTATCTCTCAGTAGTTTTCCACTTCACGCTTTCAGAATTGGTGAAGTCCTCTCCGCTTTGCGTTTGTACATTACAACACGGTCCACATAAAACAGCTGCACAATACATGTTTTTTATTATAGTGTAGCATTTAAAAACAGATAAAAGTTAAAAGTCTATATACATTATTAAATTTTCTTAACTTACTATTAAAAACAGCAATGGACCGGTAAAGGCTTTTTCCTTCTTCTTCTCCCATGAGACTTTGTTCTACACTAAACAAGTAATAACATGGTCGCACTAATTAAGTTATCTTATGTTGTCAACATCTTCCAAGTGATTCATTATCAGTGGATTGATATACCCATTTTGGGTGCTATCAAGTAGCAAATACACAACAAGGACGATGAAATGCCTTTTGAACCAATCACCTCCTTCACTTTTGCTAAGCATGGTTGCACTAACATCTGATGGGCTAATCTTGTAATCCTCTTTGTCAAATATATCTCTCCATTCATGCAGCAAAGCACACTCTTCATTTTTCTTCTTTTGCACAATTCTTTTTCCTCCTAAAGGAAAACTCAATACTCTTGCAACATCTTCCTCTGTTATACGCACATTAGTCCCATCTAGCAGCACTAATGAGCATTTTTTTGATCAAAGTTGTTCACCACCCAATAACCTAGCTTTCCAGGTATTTCAGCAATATCTAGATCAAACAATGCACCAAATCCTATTTTTTAATATCTTCTTTCTGAGTTTCTGTCATCCCACTCATAGCTTTGACTAACACATGTGGTGATGATTGATAGCCGTTATATTTACTTGTGTTTAACATAAGTATTTATAAGTATTTTTTAAAGAAAAGAAGAGAAATTGGGAAAATATCTTGAGAATGAGAGTTAGAGCATAAAACATTGTGATGAACGGCTTTTGGGACCAAAAGGATGACGTTTTGCCCATCATTTGAGTATAACGTATTGTAGAGAACTCGAAATCACTCCATTCGAACTTCATGTGAATGGTAACTCAATAAGGTACAAATGATATTCAAACATCATGGCCAGAATAGGAAAGGAACAATACTCAATCAACCGATAAAGTCAGATGTTTCTGGTGGGATTTCAGGGTGCATACCTCTCAGTGTTTTATCCATATCTGTTGATTGGATGAATAAAATCACGTCATTAAAGTTTTGTTGGATATAAGACTTCATTATATACAACTTTGGTGAAGGAATCATGTCCAAATTCGTAGCGGAACATCTCCAAAATCCCGGTACAAAAACTGACACTTTTTGATCCATTTCGGAGGAAGAGAAATGAAGTACATTTTTGGGCGCAACAACCGGCGCCGGTAGGTCTTGAACCGGCGCCGGTCAGAACGTTTTTTCTCGCATAAATCAGCCTGTTTTCAACCGGGGCCGGTCATATTACCAACCGGCGCCGGTTGGGTCGATTTTCTGCTAAAAACAGCACCGTGCAAGCTGATTCTTGATGGGAAAACCCCATCTTCCTCAATGCTAATCAAATATTGCTTCCATACCTCATTGTTGGGTTCGAATAGACTAAAAGATGTCATTCTTTAGCCTATATAAAGCCCTCAATTCATCATACAAACACATTCCATTCCATTCCATAGATTAATTCTTAGTTTTTATATTTTTGTTCTTGGTATTTTCTTCAAGTTCTTGAGGAGGGAAGTTCATCCTCTGAAATCATTGGTGTTTAGGTATTATTTCCTTTGTAATTTCATGTTCCATTACATTTATTATTGTATTGTGATTAATATGAGCATTAGAGGTTACTTTCTTAGCTAAGGCTAGGGATGAACTTCTATGCCCACTAGGTGTTTGATAAAAGTTCTAAACCAATAAATTGTAATTTATCCTTTATATATTGATTGTTTATGAATATGGTGGACAACATAGAAGTATGTTAAATTTAGTTTATACTTGCAATTAACGTTGAAGTCTAAACTATGAACATTAAAGGATAAACATATATAGTACCGAGAATAGAAATATATCCGGTCTTATATGATACGGGTGTGATGTCTTGATATTCAACGGGGTTTTCGGTAGATGAATGTAAGCCGTAACGGGACTTACACGTAACGAAAACCACGCTCTCGCTGCCTTAACCGGAGTTGAGAATATATTAGCGACATCGTATTCATAATTATTGGCAAAGAACTAATATTCAACCCTATTAAAGCATTTAAGTGATTCCTGAAGCCTTAGTTGTTGTTATCATTCATTTTAAACTCAGAATTAGTTAACGATTATCTTCTTGAGAAAAAAGTGAAAAAACCAAAAATATAACACACAATTCAAAATCCCTGCACTTTACTCATTTCTTCATTTAAGGTTATCTACTCTCGGACTAAATTAAACAACGTTTCCCTTTGGACTCGACCCGGTATTTTACCGGAATTTATTACTATATCGGCACTTGTACACTTGCAAGTTTAGCCCGATCAAGTTTTTGGCGCCGTTTCCGGGGAAACGGTCTTGTTTAATAAAGTCCAAAACAAAACAAAAATCCTGAATTTTTCATTTCCCATTGCTTTTCACTTGTTCATGTAGTAGTGTTAGTTTATTTATTTATTTATTTATTAAATAAAAATGTGTGGTCATACTCATAAAAGTTCAAGGATCTAAGTAAACTTTGGTCCTGAAGTCAAAAGAGTGTGCAAACACATCAAAAAAAAAAAAAAAAAAACCATACACCAAATGAGATCAAGATGCCCATTATTGCCTACAACCCGCATTTTCAAGCTAGAGACATATAGTTCTCTGGAGTGAAGGAAATATCTATCGGTGATGTGCTTGATAGAAGATTTCTGGAGTTTGAACGAACACTGAAAAAAAGCCTACAAACCACCTTAGGGAACACTCTTCGTACACGAGAGTATGCTATTCAAACTGAGGAGATCAATTACATGAACTTCTATGAGGAGTGGGGGAATCATGGAGGTAACAACTACTACAACTCTTCTCATCAACAAAGGGGGAACCAATACAATAGTTGGAAACCGCATGCGAGTTCTTCAAACTCTCAATCCACCTTGGAGGAGATGATGACGTTTTTTACCACAAGTATTCAAGCTGAAAATGAAAGACATTATAGTAGAATGGAGGCATCCATTGAGAATCTCCATTCTCAATTTACCAAACTTGGCAGCCGAATTGAAGATCAAAACACGATTCTTAGTCAAAGGATGGACAACCTCGAGCGAGATACCAAAAGCTCCTTCCACACTCTACAATTGCAGATTCACCAACTTGCTCAACAAGTTACTATAACAGGAAGTGACATGGTCATCATAACAGAAAGCATAAGAAGAAAGGAGCATCCCAAAGTTCCGGAGAGCAAGAAGACCCCAAACCTAATTGATGTACACGACACGACTAGAAAGCTATTTGTGGGAGATAAAGATGACATATTTCATGTGTGGAGAGTACAACCCACTCTAGAAAATTTCTTGAAGGCCGAAGCCAATGTTCTCACGCCTCCAAGTGGTAGAAGAGACCTCTTTTTCATTCAAGAAGGATACGCCAACAACAAAGGAGAACATAATCGGGATACGCCAAAAAGGTACATTTTTTATCCAGGTGATATTCTTCTCAATATTGAAAATAAGAGCTCAACATCCTCTCCTCCCCCGCAAGATTTTAAAAGAGAGGTCCTACTAGCTAAACATCTGCGGGAAGTCAATTGCACAAAAGAGGTATGTTCGTCCGGCCTATATTGATTGTTTATGACTATGGTGTACAACATAGAAGTATATTAAATTTAGTTTATACTTGCAATTAACGTTGAAGTCTAAACTATGAACATTAAAGGATAAACATATATAGTACCGAGAATAGAAATATATCCGGTCTTATATGATACGGGTGTGATGTCTTGATATTCAACGGGGTTTTCGGTAGATGAATGTAAGCCGTAACGGGACTTACACGTAACGAAAACCACGCTCTCGCTGCCTTAACCGGAGTTGAGAATATATTAGCGACATCGTATTCATAATTATTGGCAAAGAACTATTATTCAACCCTATTAAAGCATTTAAGTGATTCCCGAAGCCTTAGTTGTTATCATTCATTTTAAACTCAGAATTAGTTAACAATTATCTTCTTGAGCAAAAAGTGAAAAAACCAAAAATATAACACACAATTCAAAATCCCTGCACTTTACTCATTTCTTCATTTAAAGTTATCTACTCTCGGACTAAATTAAACAACGTTTCCTTGTGGACTCGACCCGGTATTTTACCGGAATTTATTACTATATCGGCACTTGTACACTTGCAAGTTTAGCCCGATCAATGATCTTGTACGCAGTGACCTACAGCCAGATTTTATCTCTTTCATACTATTTTTCTTGACCACATTTTCAATCACCTCATTGCCAACAACACTCCGAAGGGGTTGAACCTGAAAGTCATCATCACTGTCTTCGTCTGCACCTTGTTTCCTCTGTCTTTTCACTACAGTATGTTCGGATTCATTCGCAGGTGACTCAATTGTTCTCTTACCCTTTGCTTTCCTAACAGCCTGCATTCTTGTTTCTCGCATTTCTGAAATTTGGAATTGAATGCACACTTATAAGTAATTCATGTTTTATATAAATGGCACCTAATATATCACGATTCTCTTTATTAAGTAACACTTTGACTTACCTAATACTACCCAATAACTACACTTTTTCACACATAATCAACATTAATCATTCATTAACACTTCCAATATTCCTAATGCACTTTACCTTACTTCATTATCTCTTTTTGAAATTTGACTTACACTTTTACACATAGCACACAATAATTATGACTGCATATAATCAACCACAAAAATGCACTTTATGAATTTTTGAAATCACTTCATGATTTTATATATACCATAACTAATTTCATGCACATTTAGTAGCCCATAACTACACTTTTCACACATAATCAACAATAAACATACATTCTTCCAACAACCATAATGCACTTTACCATATTACAATACCACATTTTAAATTTTGAATTACACTTTGACACCTAACAAACAGTGCATTATTTCTTCATAGTTTAAACCACAACAATTCACTTTCTGAAGTTTTTAAAAGCACCTCATGAAATTACATATACAGTAAATAAATGCACTATTATATTACATCTATTACCTTAATACCTTAAACTCATGCACTTTGACTTCACAACACTATCGCTTCATACCAATAAGTGCACTTTTTAACACATAATTATCATCAAGAATTCATTTACACTTCAAATAACCGCAATGCACTTACACATTAGTGTACACCAATATAACAATACGCAGTATCACTATGCACTATACGGCTTCTATTCTGTAAGAAAAGTCTTATCATTACCAAATTTTCACAGTTTCTCATTCTTCCATTCAATAAGTTCACAAATTAACAATTCAATGCATTTTAACTACTTTATACATTACACAGAAACTGTTCGTCACATATACAGTAACATAATGCACCATTGGGTTAAATGCATGACTTCACAACACTATCGCTTCAAATAACAAAAACAAAAAATTAATACACTTTTAAGAGAATGTTTATGACAAAATCTTCAAGAAAGTTCACCAGATTCATCTATTTTAAACATGCATTCAATTTAAAACAATAAAAAATTAACCAAAAAATGTGGTGACAAAGTGACGTTCCCAAGTTTCGCACTTGTAGCACTCTTTCCGCTTACAGATCCTCCGTTGGTATCGTTCATATCTGCCATCGTTCTTCCAATCCTTCGTAGGGTTTCTGCGGTACTGGATTTCTTCTTAATGATCCGTCGGTATCGTTAGTATAGCTTCAGTCGAGCTCTGTGTTCAACAGAACTCTGCACAAGGTAGTTTCCTTCTTTCTAAAATACTGGGATTCTTGCCAATTAGGAAAACATGCGCCGAACTGCCATAATTACTCGATTCTTTGTTTTACCAAAATGCCCTTTTAGGATTGTTAAACTGCACTCCAACCGTTTTAATTCATTACACGCATGCATCACGTGCATTTTTTTAACTTCCAAAGCTACGATCTCAGCCGCACGTTTGATAGGATCGGAGGCCAAAAATCATTCTCATTTCTCTCCTGGGAGTCTATTCTCACCGGAACCCACCCCTATATATATACACACACACATAATGCAATTACATTTTTTTATTGTTCAATGAACAATGATTTTTACTGTTCAATGAACAGTATTCCCGCTTACACACAAACTACATCTCAATCATCCGCTCACATCCATCTTCGTCGTTTCTTCTTTCATCTTTCATGTTCTTTCCCCTGATTCTTCCATTCCCATTTCTTCTCCACCCATATGTGTCAACTCTCTTCAACATCAACACCACAAAATGATATTGATCAATCTGTCTATATCTTCACCCCCTTTCAATTTACGTTGTCCTCCATTCCCCTCCTCCATCCGCCTGTAGAGAAACAGAAGAATCTCAATAAAAAAGAAATCCAATGCTTTAAGTCCCCGTTCGAGTACATTCATACCATCAGGTGGAGAGCGGTCAATTTCTTCTTCACTGTCAGGGAGGGATCGAGTTGCTTCCTCTTGATATGTTGCCTCAACAAAATCAATGGAGACACATCTCAGTATTTCAATCCAGGTATAATATTTTAATAAATTATGTTTCAGTTCCGTTTGAACCAAATTACCTAATTTCCGATTCCATCATCTATATCATTATTTTTATGAAATCATAAAATTACCTTGTTTTTATGGACAAACATATGAACTTTTTGCAATTCATCTTCCTTTATTGTTTCTATTAATCGTGATACTTATGTTTTTCATATTCTTTTCGGTGAATTCAGCAATCGATGGGAACAAATGACAAATTAATGGGATTATATCTCGAAATTACATTAGGTTTGTTTTCATATTCTTTCTCAGATGAGTTTAGTTGTTTTCATATTGTTTTTAGATTCTGCCATTAAATAATTTGGAATTGTTGGAACTTTTTACGGTGTCCAATTTAGTTATATATCTTTGTATTTGTGTAGCTATTTTGACTAGATATTTAATATGGGCTTCAAATGTATTTCAGTCCATTAGCACCTTTGTAAGCCGTAAGGTAGACCAACCTTATTAAGAAATGTTGTAAAGTGTGCAATTGGGCCACCTCAAGAAAGGATCCCAATCATACTTAGATCAAATCAACTCATTCCCTGGGCATCTAAATATAGCCATAGAGGGAATGAGCCAAGAAGGCTTTACAGAATATTTACGCACATTTAGCGCATACATTCAGAGAGAGAAGTGAAAAGCCTTTTCGATACTGATAGAATTTTAACTCTTAGAGAGAAGGGAGAGCTAGAGAGATAAAGTGATATGTATAAATGAATTTCCAACCCTTCATAACTACCCCCAAAGGGAGTATTTATAGGGGAAATATGGGTTGGGCTCCCAAGTCTTGGGCTTGGGAGGCCCATTACAATATAAAGCCTCTAATGGGCTGGATACAAGAATTTGACTAAGTATAGAAACTGTCCCTGCGGGATCTTTCTGGCCGATGGTGGCACTGGCTGACAGAGGCACTGGCCGACGGAGGCACTGACCGACGGAGGCACCGACCGACGGAGGACAAGTCTTCTCCTTGTCTTCTGGATCATATTCTGGATTGACTCTTCTTTGGCCGATGAGGTGCCATCTGGCCGACGGAGGGCCCGCTGGATGAAAGTTGTGCTCCTCTTAGTCTTCTGAATATGTGGGTCATGGGATCTGGACTCATACCCTCCAGTAGGAGTCCCCCCATTCTCTGAGGTGAGATGCAGACAAAGTGAAAGGGAGTAGATTCTTGTTGCCTTGATTCTTGTTGTTTTGATGCTTTAGGCCGATGGAGGATTACCTGGGAGTTATGGCGCTCCTGGCCGAGGCGGCAACTTAATTAGGCCATCGTTGGTTCCTCACTTCTGCGGACGATGAATGTCCTTCATTTCTAGGACAATGTGCGGTCTTAATCGTGAGGGTGATATGGCATCTCTTTGGCCGTTGTTGGCTACCTTTTGTGCTTCTGGCCGAGGAGGCACCATGATTTCTTTTGGTGCTCCAGGTTGATGGATCGTACGCTTGTTTGTGTGTTATTTTCTTATCTTGGTCGAGGGTGGAGCATATGACCCAAGGCCGTTGGAACTCCACATGTCGAGGAATTACACTTGTCAAGTTCGGGGTGGTGTGTTTGAGCTTTGCTTCCCTGTTTGCTTATTTTGCTGCGGCCGAGGGTGTACCACAAGGTCACGGACGTTGTGGTGCATAGACGATACGATGCTATTGAAGTTGTATACTTGTGCGTTCTTGGATTTTCAATTTCATCCTTGCGTTTGGAGGGCGATGTAGTCCCCCAGTCCCCCACTACCGGAGGCGAGAGTACTCGAGGCGAAAGGGAGCAGAGCTATGTACTGATCTGTCATCATCAGGTGGAGTAAACTTCTGGCGTCGCCGAGGCGCCTTGCTTGGATTCCCCAAGCCGATAATCCGATCTCATTGGCGAGCCCTGACTGAAGCAACCGTGTGGGAGAATCCTCAACCAAAGGTCGCGGGCCAGAGACCGTCACTACCGGTCTTGGGGACGAGGGGCTATGCATATGATGTGAGGTTGTCACCGGTGCATGTGGCAATCTTCGTGCTTCTATGGTGACGGAGGCGCTAAGTCCCCCGCTCTTCCAGTCCCCCACTCCTTGAGGCATGTATAATGAGGTGAAAAGGAGTAGAGCAATGTAGGGGAGAGCACACCCGACCCTACCCGATTGACCCGATCAGATATATCCGATTTTTTTGTTGGGGTCAGAAAACCCGACCCGAAATACCCAAACCCGGTCCAATTCTTGCAACCCGATACTTAAGCGGGTAGCGGGTAGGGTTACCAATTATGCTACCTGACTCGCCCGAGAAACCGAACTAGCGTAGTATATACTACTTTGAATTATTATTCATGTTCAAATATCTCAATTATTGTATGCCAATTACCATATTATGCGTGTTCAAATATTCCAATTACTGTATTTGTACAACTTGAATGTTGTATTATCATGACTTTGAATGATATTTTGACCAATTATCATTTTATTTATCATAATATCAAATATGTCAATCACCATATATTAGTATTTTACATACTCAAATATGTCGATTACCGTATTTATACAACTATTACTTTGAATGTTATACTAGTATAACTTTGAATGATATTTTTACCAATTACCATTTTATTTACCACAATTTCAACAATAATAAATTAAAATCCGAATGGACCCGAAAACCGAATCAACCCGACCGCAACCCGAACTTCTTCAACCCGAAAAAACCCGATAAATTTTTTGATACGATAGGGTTTGAAATTATCAAACCGATACCCGAACGGGTTCACCATTCCTGAACCCAACCCGCTTGAACCCGACCCGTTCTCTGCCCTAGAGCAATGCACGTCTTCAATAGGGGGGCGAGGGTTGATGCCTTTTGATCCACAATGGGGAGATGCCTTGTTAAAAACCTAATTAGGAAAACCCCCGTGGTAAAATCCTATTGAGGGAAAAAGAGTACATCGGATGCCCTCAAAATGAAGCAAAAGTGGTGAACCCTTCGGCCTGGGTGTGGAGTTGCAGCGAT